TAACTATAAACTTATCCCAACTTTCTCACTTTTTAATGTATAAAAAACACACAACAACTTTGTTATGTCTATAACAGTTGGCCTAAATTGGCCTGAATGCCAATAGGCTGACCTTCAAAGAATAGGGAGAAATAGTTACGTCACACACTGAGACTTTCCAGATTTCTTGGTGACTGGATAGTTGTTGGGAGAAGAATTATTATTCTAATTGAAAAGAAAAACTTCTAAACATCTTAAGTATCTCTTATAAGTTGCTAAGGCCTGGTTTGTAATATATTACACTAATATTCATAGCTGTATTACTGATGAAAGCAATTCCATTCTCAGATATGAAGTTTCACAGTTTTTTTTTTTTACATTTAATCTATGATCAATATTGAATTATTTTTTGTGAAAAGTGTAAGGTATGTCTGGGTGTTTCTTTGGGGTTTTTTTGGTATAGGGATGTCCAATTGTTCCAGTATCATTTGTTGAAAAGGCTTTTCTTTATCCATTAAATTACCTTTGCCCCTTTTGACAAAGAACAGTTGATTCCATTTGTTTGGGTTTATTTCTGAGCTCTCTATTCTGTTCTATTGATCTATTTGTCTATTGTTTCACCAATGCCCCACCATCTTCATTACTGTAGCTTTATAGTAAGTCTTGAAATCAAGTAGTGTCTGTCCTCCAATTTTGTTCTTTTAGTATTGTGTTGGCTATTCTGTGTCTTTTGCCTTTCCATGTAAATTTTAGAATGAGTTTATCAATATTTACTAAATAGTTTTCTGACATTTTGATCGGATCAAATTCCTCATCAACTCCCCTCAATGGCCGATCACCCTGGCTTGTCTTTTGCCGGAATCCTGCCAAGTCAGTTTAACCACATCCCTCCTCCTCCTGGTGTTTCATCTTAATAATTTTCCACCCACTGACCCCCACTCTGCTCCTTGGCTATAAATTCCACCCTGTTCTTATTGTGTTCTGAGCTGAGCCAGATCTCTTTTATGGACTACTAATCCCACCGTAGTAGTTCTCCTTGCATAATAACTTCCTTACTGTCTTTACCAGTGTCATGAAATTTATTTATTTTATATCAACTTTATCGATATTTTCAAAGAACCAGCTTTGAGTTTCATCCATTTACTCTATGTTCCTATTTCAATTTGATAAAGTTTTGTTTTTATTTTTATTATTTATTTTCTTCTGCTTGCTTTGTGCTTAAAGTGTTCTTTTTGTTCTAGTTTCCTAAGGCGGAAACTTAGATTATTGATTTTAGGTCTTTCTTCTTTTTAAAATATGCATTTAATCCTATAAATTTCCCTCCAATCACTGCTTTTGCTGCATCTCACATATTTTGGTAAATTGGATTTTTATTTTCACTTAGTTTGAAATATTGCTTTAATTTCTCTCGAGACTACTTCCTTGACCTAGGGATTATTGAGAATTGTGTTCTCTAGTCTCCAAATATTTGGAGATTTTCCAGTTAGCTCTTCAGTATTGTTAATTCCTTGGGTCTCATAGCAGACATTGTATGGTTTCTAGTCTTTTAAATTTGTTAAGATGTAGTCATGACCAAAACTGTTGTCTATCATTGTAAACGTTACATGTGAGCTTGAAAAGAATGTACTGTTGTTGGATGAAGAATTCTGTTTTGTCAATTAGATCAAGTTTTCTACAGTGCTGCTCAGGTCAACCATGTCCTTACTGATTTTCTGCCCACTGTATCTGTCAGTGACTGAATAAGGGATGTTGAAATCTCAAAATATAATAGCAGATTTGTCTATTTCTCCTTGCACTTCTATCAGCTTTTATATCTGATATTTTGTCACTCTATTTTTAGGTTCATATACCTTAAGGATTGTTATGTCTTCTTGGAGAATTGACTCCTTTATCCTTATATAATGCCCATCTTTATCACTAATAATTGTTTTTGCTCTGAAGTGTTCTCTGTCAGAAATCAATAAAGTGACTCCAGCTTTTGATTAGTGCTAGTATGAACAGTCATGCCTTGCTTAGTGACGGGGCTGTATTCTGAGAAAAGCTTTGTTAGGTGATTTCGTCATTGTGGGAACATCATAGAGTGCACTTACACAAACCAAGATGGTATAGCCTACTACACACTTAGGCAATATGGTACTAATCTTATGGGACCACTGTCATATATGTGGTCCATCCTTGACTGAAACATCACTATGCAGCACATGACTGTATATTTTTCTCCATCCCTTTACTTTTAATCTACATTATTTTTATATTTAGGTTGGCTTTCTTGTAGACAACATAAAGTTGGGTCTTGTTTTTTGATCCACTCTCAAGTGATTTTTGGATTAACATCTACCATATTTGTTAATGTTTTATATTCCTTGCATTTCTCCTTTGTTTCTCCCTCCTTCTTTTTCTTCTCTCTGTTATTTTAGTTGAGCCTTTTAGATGATACCATTTTACCCTACCTCTTATCATATCAATTATACTTCTTTCTATTTGTTAGTGGTTACTTAGAGTAAGCAACATACATTTTTAACTAATCTAAGTTCACCTTCAAGTAACATCATCCTGCATCCCATGTAGCCCAGTACCTTATAGGAGAGCATTCCCAATTCCTTCTTATAGTCCTTAGGGCATTGCTGTCATCCATTTCATTTAGCTATGTTATATAATAACAATTCATTGTTGTTATTATTATTTTGAATAAATCATTATGTGTTAGAGCAATTAAGAATAAGAAAAATGAAAGATCTTATTTTACCGTCATTTATTTCTTCTCCAACACTCTTCCCTTCTGGATGTAGATCCAACTTTCTGACCTATATAATTTTCCTTCTTTCTAAAGAATTTCTTTTAAAATTTCTTGAAGGGCCAGTCTACTGGTGAAAACTTTGCTCGGTTTTTGTTTGTCTGAGAAAGTTGCTATTTCCCCTTCACTTTTGAAAGATAATTTTGCTGGGTATAAAATTCTAAGTTAGTGATTTTTTTCTTCTTTCCTTTTAAATATTCCACCCCATCCTCTTGCTTACATGGCTTCTGATTCCACTTTAATTCTTATGCTTACTCCTCCATGGTAAGATGTTTTATTTTCCTTTGGCTTCCTATAAGATTTTCTCTTTTTCTTCATTCTTCTGCTGCTTGAATATGATATGGCTAGGTGTGGATCTTTTGTTTTTAATCCTACTTGCCATTCTCTGAGCTTCCTAGATATGTGATTTGGAATTTTCATTAATTTTGGAAAATTCTTGGCCATTATTACTTAATTTGGGTTTTTTTGTTCCTATCTCTCTTTCTGGTATTCCCATTAAGTATTTTTACATCCTTTGTAATTGTCCCACAGTTCCTGGATATTCTACTGTTTTTTCAGTAGTCTTTATTTTTTTCATTTTAGTTGTAGAAATTCCCATTGACATATCATCAAGATCTCTAATTCTTTTCTCAGATATGTCCAGTATACTGATAAAACCATCAAAGACATTCTTCATTTCTATAACAATGTTTTTTATTTCTATCATTTTCCTTAATTTTTATTATTGTTGTAAATACACATAACATAAAATTAAGTATCTTAACCATTTATAAATGCACAGTTTAGTGTTATTAATTACATTTATATTGTGCATCCATCACCATCATCCATCTCCAGAACCCTTTTCATCCTTCAACACTGAAACTCTGTACTCACTAAATTATGACCCCTTCCCCCATCTTTTTAATTCTTCATTAGAGTTTCCCTCTCTCTTATTTCATTGCCCATCTGTTCTTGCATATTGTCTACTCATCCCATTAGAACCCTCAGCATACTAATCACAGTTATTTTAGATTCGTGGTCTTACAATTTGAAAATTTCTACCACATCTGAGTCTAGTTTTTCAGAATATGCTCTTTCTTGCCTTTATCACACTTAGTAATTTTTTGTTGAAATCCAGACATTGTGTATGGGGTAATAGTAACTGAGATAAATATGCCTCTAGTATGAGGTTTTTTTGTTAATCTGGCTAGGAGTTGGGCTGTGTGTACCATTTGCTGTAGCTGTAGGTGTCAGTAGCTTCAATTTCCTCTAATGTTCCCTGGTTGTCTTTGGGTTCTCCTAAACAAGCTCATTTTAAATAGAGTCTGTGCTTGCAGCTCTTTATAGTTGTAACCCACTGTTATTATACTGGAGACTGTCGGCACGGTGGTAAAGTGTGGGGGAGAGGAAACATCCTATAATCTTAGGATTAAACCTCAGTCTTTTCCTGGCCTGTGTCCCTGCAGCGTGACCTTCACAAGCATTGATCAGCTTCTCCCCTGCACTTAGTTGAGACAGGAAGGCAAGGTGGGGCCGGAGTAGGGGCAGCACCCTTCCCCCAGGAGGAATATGACTCTAGTAAAGTCATTTTCCCAGGAGAGTAAGCTCTTGATATAGAGAATTCTATGGACATATTTCATACACTGTTTCTCCTTACCAGAGCCACTCGGGGTTCGTTTTTGCTCTGCACTATGATAATCTGGTAGATTTCCTGGAGTTAAACCCAGGAAAGTGTGGGGTTCCCTTCGTCCCTGGCACTCAGTAGTTTCTCATCCTCATGCTAGTCCACACTCAGACTCTGGCAATTTGTGAAAATTACCACAAGTGTTCCTACCAGTTTATGGCTCCAGAGGCTTATGCTCCAGTTAACCACATCTTGGGTGTGACTCTTTCTCCAAATTTGAGGTGGCAGTTTGCCCTGTGACCTCAGTTCTCTCAAGGGACCAAGAAAAATCACTGATTTTTAGTTTGTTCTGAATTTTTCTTATTTTAATGGTGGGAGTGGTGATTTCTGGGTTTTTCACATGTAGTAGCTGAAAACAGAAGTCTCTTTGCCTAAGGAACTAGGAAAGTAACGTTTTTTTCTTTTTTCTCCCAAGAAGAAGATATCCGATATTTTTTGAATTTCTGTTTTTCAGCATCTATATTTGAATTACTTTTATATGTTTTTCTCCTAAGAGCCCCTTTCTTTTTATTATCATCTAAGTTGCTGATTTTCCTCAGAATTCTGATCAAGTAGATAATCTTGAATCTAGGGTAGTTTTACTCTGAGGCTCATTAACGACCATGACTAAAACCAGCCTGTGACAGGCTGGGAGTACCCATGGGCCATAAACCATGGTGTTCTGGTTTGTTTGCTGTCAGGAGACAACACCCCACCCAGGCTACTCTCTCCCCAGGCTGCCACCAGTCACTGAATAAAAACAGAGCAAACTCAGATCTGTGCCATGTCTGCCAATGTAGGAGTCGTCCAAGGGAAACCTTAGCTCTGGGGTCCCCATTTACAATGCTGAGATGTCTTGCACTGCAGTCTGAAGCTATTCCTACCTACCTCCACCCCACCATTTCACAGGCATCGGACTCCTAACAAGGTCAAAGACTTTCCCTGCCCAGTCTTGCTCCTTTCCCTTCATCATCCACAAGCGTTCCCACAGTAAATGTCTTTCTCTTCTAATTACATTTGACATCTGCCTCATGGAGATACATATTGTCCTCATCCCACAGGTTTTCTGTTCCAGAAATTTGCTGAGATCCCTTGGCATTCATAATACCCCATGTCTCACAGCATCCTTCTTTATTTCTTTCTGTGTCTTCATTTCAGAAGGGCCCCATGAATAATGGCTTCACCTCAATTGCCTACACCGCTATTTCAACAAGAAGCTCAGACTGAAATTTACTGGGAGCAATTTAATGCCAATTGAACTGAAACAGAACTGAAAGTCCCCTCACCCAAATCACAGACTATCTAGAGAACATCTAATTCAATTATTGTTTCAGATGGGGAAACAAATGATGTGACTTGCACTAGGTTACAAAGAACTCCTCTCAATGGGTTATTTCTATGCGATAATCCGCCCCCCTACTCTGAGCACTATCTCGCTGACACTTCTAATGTCCCCAACGCCTGCCCTTGTGCTGCATGTAGTGAGTGCTCACCCACGCGTGCTGGGTTTTGAGAAACTTCAGCAATCAGGAGCAGCACTCTGCCCATAAAGAGAGCTGCTCCTCTCCTGCCTGGTGGTAATTCCCACACACCTGCTTCTGCGTCTCTTCAGCAACCCTTGCAGCATGAGGATTCTTGTCCTGCTCTTAACCATTTTTCTTCTACTCTACCAAGCTCTTCCAGGTAAAAAGAGACTCTCAGCTAGAAACTGCAGAAGATGGCAGGTAAAGAAAAAACTTGACTAAGAATAAACAACCTGTGGGATTCAGCAAACTTCTTAATCTCTCTGCCCTGATTGAGACCATGAGTAAAATGCAGTAGAAGGCTGCCCTCATAAACACTTCCTAGCACCAAGGCTTCATAGCTCAAAAACGTAGGGGTCTTAGATGTCATTGGGGATTCACTAACCATACTTATTGCATTGAAGGGATATGCAATAATTCATTGTTGATTTTCTGGAAAGAGATGCCTTCTCCCCTTGATGGCCCCCATCAGGCTCCCTCTGAAAAGTTTTGATGTGCAAAGAAGGGGGCCTATTCACCCTCTTAAATCATCCAATGCCTCTTCAGATCAAGTCAGGGGATTAGAATTAAGAGGAATGCAGTGATTTCGGTAGATAAAAAAATTTGTTGATAACACAAATAGCAGGTGTCTTTGGAGTCTGCTGAGGAAATTTCAAAGTTAGATGGAGCTATCAGCAATGTGTTGACTCCTATGTTAATCTATGCACCCAGAAGCACACAGTTTTATGACACTACAGTTGGAAGGGACATGCAAAGTCATCTAGTCTAATTCCCTCCCTTTAAAATCTGAGCCAAATGCTCTGCAGGTACAGTGAAGGAAAATAGCTTGCCCAGAGCGACTGAAATCTAGCTGTGCTGGGATAAAACCAATTGTTCTGACTTAAGGAACCCCCAAGGCTCTCCCCAAGCTCCTTGGTAGGTTCGCAATGCTCACGGGTATGCCCAGGCCATCCTCTTTGCCCAATTCCAGCGTGCATCCATGCAGTGGTACAGAAGGGTGATTTCTTTTTCTCAAAGGGTCATGTTTAGCTTAACTCTTTCTAACTTGTATCTTTTTCCTGGGTCATTTCCCATGGATGTTTCTCAGAATTTCTGCTATCATCATACTCTGGACCTGTCAAACCATGATAGTAATTTATTTATCACAAAACAGGTTCCCCTCAACCTCTGATCATGAGATAAAAAACCTGGTGAGATTGAAAGCCTGAATTTGGGTCCCTCCAGAGCCAGGGGGATGCTCGTGCGGAGCTGGTCAACATTGCCTGCATCTGGCAGCTGAGGGCTGGGTCAGATTGGCCTCTACAGTCTGATTCTGAGAAAGGCCCTCAGGAGGAAGGCGGTAGGGAGGAAAAGTGGAAGGGAAGGCAGGTGAGCACGAACTACAGTGATGCCCACCCCTCATCTGCTCCTCCTCCTTCTGGTAACTTTGGCTTTTACACACTTCCAGGACCTTGAAATGCCCACAAAGCTGGAGGATGGATGCACAGGAGGGCTATCGGTTAGGTAAGCAAGAGACTCAGTGTAATGTGGTCTACTTTGGAAAGTATTTATTACTCAGTGAATAGATTGAATTCAGAACCTGTGCTCTCTCTTTTGCTTTCCATTTAGTCTAACTGTAAGACACAAAAACTGGGGTTTGGCCCCAGTGTTGACATTAAGTTGTTGTGTGATCTCAGGTGTCACTTTCCTCCTCCGGGCCTCAATTCCTATTTCTAAATAGATGGGCTATGAGGGTTTGCTTGAAAGTGACAGTCTAGCATTTCAAGGTCTGTACTCTCTTTCTGTTCCATTCTGATTCTACCCTAAGCTTCACTGTCCCTGAGCTCACTTAGGGTCCCCGTATTCTTCCTCTAACTCCAGGCTGTACAACAGCTGGCTCAAAAATGTCAGAAATCATATATCTGGTCCCCAGTCTCCACATACCCACTCAGCATAACGAATATTTCAGCTCACCTCACTCTTTTCTTCATTGCCTTGCACTCTGACCTCAGGTCTCAGTACTGAGGACGTCACAGCAAGGAGCCTCTTCAGTATTCTTCAAAGTACATTATTTTGTGAACATGCTTTTTATCCTCATCTACACCCTGAACAGAGAACCCTCACAGTTAGGCACTGGAAATAGGAGGCTTTCTTTACCAGGACAAAGGAAATCATAAAACCTCAGCCCAAGGATAAGCAACCTGGTTGAGTTGTCCTGCCCCTTTTGATCTGTGGAAAATGGACAGATGAGGAGAGAGACGGCTCAGGGCTCAGGCATAATAAGGACCTTAGGCCTGGACCCCCTCAAAGGGTGCCATGTGCAGCCTCGACTGTGCACATCACACCCCCCTTTCCCAGAGCTCTCCTGACACCTTCGCCAAACCCTGTTCCTGCCCAGTGCAGGAGGCACCTGTCTACAGAACCAGCCCAGGCAAAGTTCTCCGGGGAGGCTCTTTCAAGCCACCGTCTACTTTCCCTCCAGCATCAACCATGCTTCTGGGCTCTCCTGGATGTGAGATGCAACCAGTTTGACCCGTCAGGCAGCTGCAGGTTTAAATAGCTACTTTCAGCCTCATTGAGCGCTCCCAGAGACCTCTAGTAACTAACCCCACATCTCCTGCTTACTGTTCTGGGCCAAGGGTCAAAGGCTCAGGATTCTATCTCCTCTCGTCTCCTCTCCTCACATCTACTCTGCCATAGTCGATCCTTGTCTATCCAATCATGAATTCAACAGGTAATTACTGAGCACATGTGTGTGCCTGGTAGTGAGTGAGCACATGATGGTGAGCATGTGACATAAACGTTGTCCTCCCACTCAGGGAACTTAGAATTCAACTGAAAAGACCAAAATACTAAAAACTTATGTAGCTACAACTTGGGATACACGTCATGAAAAATCATTAAAAAATTGCATAGGGAGGGCAAGAGCTCTGGGGCACTTTGCCACATGAGGAGGACAGGGGCCGATTTCCCTGACATTGTGACACTCAGGTTGAGAGCCGAAGGTTCAAAGAGGTCATTCAGGGGAAGAGGAGAAGAGTAGCCCTGGCAGAGGGAACAGTGCGAGTGAAGGCACTGAGATAACTTCAGGAACTGAAGCCGGACCAGTGAGGTCATGGGAGGGAGAGTGAAGGCCCCGTGGAACAGCATGAGTCTGAAGAGGTGGTCCAGGGTCAGAGGAGGAAATCTTTGTAGACCACGGTCAGGGCCTTGGTTGGATTCATTTAAAAAGCAATAGCAAACTCTGGTAGGGATTTTAGGTGTGACATGAATCAATTAAAAATTCTTAAAATCATGCTGGAAGAGTATTAGATGGTGATGCCAATCAGCTAGGAAAGCAGAAGAAGGTGCGGGTATTGGGGTTTCTACTCCTCCAGGACTCCCTAGTCTTCTCCAGAGTCAATTTCACTCATCCCGCATCAAAACTCTGCAGTCAAAGTCTTGCCTTTTGGTCCTCAGGGACGATTAATCACACTGACTTATTCCATTATGTAGTGAGAAGTGACCTTGACGCAGGCAGGATATGTGGTTATGGGACTGCTCGCTGCCAGAGGAAGTGTAAAAGAGAGGATTCATTCATTGGAAGATGCCCCAACATGTATCCATGCTGTTTGAAAAAGAGGAATGCCAACTCATCACACTCTCTGAAATACTGAAACCCTGATCCCCAGAGTCGCCGACAGCTGGACCTCTGAGCCTTCCCTTCTTGAGGCCTCACACCTAGAACATCCCCAGTGGCGGCTGTCAATCCAATTATTAAGTGAGGATTTGCCGAGCTTTCACTCCACGCAGAGCCAATGTAGGAGGTTGTGGCAGAATACGGGCCTCAGGCTTCCGAGCCTCAGACGAGCTTCTCTGGCTGTGAGAAAAGAGGATAGCAATGTGGGTTAAGTGAGAATTTCAACACTTTAAAACATGAACCAAAAAATATATCTAATCAGCCACAAACAGTAAACATCATATCAATTGATCTTGGTAACATTGGTTTTCTTTTCTGATCAAAAGTTCTGCTCAGCAGTTATATATGTCTTTTGTCAATTAAAATGTAAAATAAACCAATATTAAACGCAGTTTTTTGGCCCACACTATCATTCAAAACATAGACCTCCAGGAAGAAAAACAGAAGCGATACTAGGTGATGAGAAGGTAGGGGTTCACTCAAGCAGATGTCTGTGAAGGGTCACATCCAGCAGATGGCAGCAGAGAGCGGCCCTGCCCCTGGGCAGTGTTGGGCGAATGCTTTGAGACTCATTGTCCCGAAAACTGGTAAAGAAAGGCCAGTAATAAAACATTTGACCTGCCTTTCCTGTCCAAACTGTATTTCAGGGTAACCAAATGGTTCGTGAGCAAAAGATTCTCTCTACAAAAGTGGTCCAGCTAATACATGAAGGAGGAGAGAGAGAATGAGAATAACACTATTTCACAAAAACCTAGGGAAAGAATGATCTAGCCAATGAATGTCAAAAGCCACTAAAATAAACAAGAATGACCACTTGATGTTATGTGCCTCTTAATAACTGTGCACAACGCCACCTAGGAGCTGTTAAACTGGATTGCATCCTTTTGGCCAGAAACAGTACAATGTCCTTTCATGTAGTCAGCACTCAGCTTCAACATGCGGTTAATGTTGTTTCATCCCTTCATAAGCTCCCTGCCACCCCAATTATTTCCGAGAATATTCAAGATGCCATAAAACTTCATCAGAAAATACTTTGGAATATATAAGTCAGAGAAAAGGACTCTTTAAAAAGTGTAACCACATGGGGTTGGCCCAGTGGCACAATGGTTAAGTTTGCACATTCTGCTTTGGCAGTCTGGGGTTTGCTAGGTCAGATCGTGGGTGCGGACCTATGCACCGCTTGTCAGGCCATGCTGTGGCAAGTGCCCCACATAAAATAGTGGAAGATGGGCACAGATGTTAGCTCAGGGCTAGTCTTCCTCATCAAAAAAAAAGGAGGGTTGGTGGCAGATGTTAGCTCAGGGCTAATCTTCCCCCTCCAAAAAAAAGAAAGTGTAACCACAGCACTATTACCACACCAGAAAATATCAACACTAATTTCTAACTATAATTTAATAGCCAATCAGTGTTCAAATGACCCTGGTGATTTCCTAGGTGCGTTTGTCAGAATCGGTTTCTTAGAACCAGGATCCCGACAGGTCCACACACTGGGTTTGGTGGTTTGTGTCCAAGGCCTCTTGTAAGGATGGTGTTGCATACTTGCTGTTCCACCTATAAAGTACTGTGCCAAAAATCAGATGTGAACTGAACGAGCCTCTAGATCTCATCACAGTGATTACAGGGGAGAGAGGAACCTGTTAAACAGCCCCCAAGGATGCAACTCTCCACCTGCGTGATACGGAATATACTATACAACACTGCAATGTTGAATTTAAATCGTGCCCCATCCTGTTTAATGTCCCTCTTCATTATTCTCATACTTTGCATTTTACAAAGTACTTCCACGTACATAATCTCTTCGATCCTCACAGTAAGCTTTTGAATTAGTCAGGATAAGTGTCATCGTCCCGACCACTTAGGTGTGGAAACTAAGGCTCAGAGCGGCTTTCCTAAAGTCGGTCAGAGTCTTGGGCAGGGCGAGGCATAGACCCCACATCCCAGCACACATCAGAGCAGCACAGTGCGGCGCGCTCGAATCCCAGCTCTCCCACCTGGAGGATAACCTTGGGAAGGTTTCTACCTTGACTTCCCATCTGTGATATGGCCGTTCAAACAACACTTAGAAGCTCAGAGCCAACTTCAGATCCTGTTGAGAAGTGATTAGTTTTTGGTCTATGACGATAGAGAAAAGAAAGGGAGTTTTCTAAACTTTATCACCACCAATGGTAGTGGTCAGGGTAGGAAAAACAAGCAGAGAGAAAAAGCATCTCGTCATCAGAAAAAATCACGTAAAATCAGAGTGGGCTTACATCCTGTTTGCCCTGAGGAACCCCAGGGGTTTTTCTTTCTTTGTTGTCATGATGTCCCAAGCTTTCACTTTCTTAAGGAGACGCACTCTGAAATAGCCCCTCTATGTGTAATTCACGTGGTCATATAAATGAACTGCAGCTCTCAGCACTGAAGGAAATTACAGTCAAGCTATTTTAATTTCCCGATGGCTTAATGGCAAAAGACCAAAGATAGATTGCTCTATGTTATTGTTTCTAGAATTAGCAAGAAATATCTGATGCACTACTTCTACATTCTGAAACTGAATGACATTGCTAGTTTTCTTCTTTCTCTGAAGGATGGAACATCTGTAGGCTGCTGTTCAAAATGGAAGATCAATAATCATTTGAAATTAGTCTAATGAAAATCAACAGATAGAAGAATTGAGTTTGGACACTTTTCGCTTTATAATTTGTACATTTGTATTATTTCAAGCTCAGAGAGAGAGAAAGATTGATGGAGAAAACATCTGAGTGAGCAGATCCACCAACCAGGTCCTCCTTAGAGAGAGGAAACATGAAGGGGGTGGAATTTTCAGCACTGACATGTCCTCTTTCTTGCCTCCCAAGTGGCATCCCATTAAATCCTGGACGATATGACTGCGCAATATGCAGAGATATTTTAAGGAGAACATCTTCTTCTGCAATGCCACTGTCATTTGACACCATCTACTTGGTTCGAATGAATCAAGATCTCCATACTAGGCAGCTTAGTTGTATAGACAAAATAAAAATTTAAAAAAGATTTCGAACCACTGGTGAGAATATCCTCTAATGGGTTCTGCTATCCTCCCCACTGCGTGTATTTGGCTTTCAGAAGGTAAATTGTTTCATGGTTTTTCTAGAACACAGAATGCTGAGAAGAGGACTGGAACTCAGAACATTGTTCTGTTAGGACAGATGTAGCACCAACAGTCTTTATACCGATTTCACCTTCATTTATCTGTCAAAAAGGAGAACTAGCTTTTCACTGGTCCCTTCTTTTCAAGGTTATTCTTTTCAGAAGTATTAGGAAGTCTTATTTTATCTTAAGATCTGGACAGAGGAAGTAAGACATAACTATTTTTAGTTCAATTTCTTCATCTATTAGATCAAATTATTTTAATGAATTAGAACAATTATTTGAGGATGATTATCAAAATAAAGCTACATTTTGACTCATGATTCATCACTATTAATGTCTGAATATTAGAATAGGCTATCTTTTTTTTAATAGAGAAGAGCATCTATAGAAATTATTTGCCTACCTAGTCTAAAATTTGCATCACTTTTAGAAAAGATCAGAATTCTACACTTAGACAAATATAAACGCAAGTGCAAGAAATACCTTCTGGATTAGAGCATTAAAAAAAATGTGTAGGTCACGGGAGAAAAAAATCTTGAATGAGAATTGAGTTAACAGCAGCTTTCCACATACCTTCCTCACCATCTACTTTTTGTCACAGTCTGGTAGCTGTGGCGATTAATGGCCCTTGTCATAGGTCAATTGCCTCACATCTCTGCCAGTACTCTCAATATCTTCAAATTGGAAGATTTCCTAATGCCTTAAAATAAAAAGATGTGAATGCTCTTATGCTATCTCCAACTAGTACCTCAGTACTCCCTAATATTGAGTCTGTCACAAGACCTAGAGTAGTGATTGCTGTGTGAGAGCAATGCTGGGACACCTTCTGTGCACATCTGTTCTTAGCTCCAAACCTTCTCTTCCTCATTGTAGCTTCCCTGGATGCTCAGTTTCTGGTGTGGCTGCTGCCTCTTTCTCCATCCACTCTCACCTTTCTCCAAGTGGAGTATAAGTATTTTCATTTACACAAATGATATAAGACATTTTCCCTGGACCAAAGAGCATGTGCAATTGAGAGACATGGGATAAGCATCACACTTTCCAGCATAATGGATGTCATATTGGACATTAGATGCTTGTAATGCTCTTGAACCAGAGCCTATGCTTCCCTGGTTGAGTCCAGACAGGGCTGCCTGGGTTGTGCATGCCTGAGATAATGCAGCAAAACAAACCTCTGGCCTGCCAAGGGGAAGGGGAAGGACCCAGGGAAGAAGAGCCTTTTGCTTAATTATTAATAGAACAGAAAATCCAGACTCAGTAACAGAACATTTATAAGCAGAACTGAATTGGACCCAATGGCATCAATAGTCAGGCATCTGGGGAACAGAGAATAGAAAGGAGAGAGAGACATGAAGAAGAGTCAGATAAAAGAAATTCGAAACAGAAGAGTAAAAGGAGCTGATGGAGTAGTGGAGGAGGCCAAGGACCAGTGAGAGACTTGGGAGAAAGAACAGGGAAAAGAACATGGAACAGCTTAGGAGCCACCTATATGACTTCAGGAAATGACAGTTTTGAAAATCAGATCATACCCGAAATGTTTGTTTATCTGCATGATTTTTTACACTAAAATAAATATGTTCAGGAGATAGAATAGAAACAATAGGACAGCTTTTTTTTTTTTTTATGTCACCATCGTAATGAATAGCAGTGGTTTAATGAGGTGCAATTGAGGAAACTGATTTTATGTTAATGACATACTTATTTTGCCTCTCTCTTTGATTTTCTGCTACTTCTCTCTTTCCCTGTTCTTTCTTGTTCACCAAACCCAGCCAAGGCACTCAGGCATGTTATTTACTTCCTGAGAAAAATGGCTCCATGGTTGTTCCCCCAGCAGTGGGAAAACAATGCACCTACATGTGTCCTCTGGGACTGAGAAATTACTCTGGAACACAGCTCTCCTGGGCACGAGGCCCACTCCCCTGCTCAGCTCTATAAAGGAAGCCCTGCTGCCCGCCCCCCACTACTCTCTGACCATCCCAGCCTGCAGCCCCTCTGGGCTGTGAAGCAATCCCTCCCTCCACTCGCCTCTCTCCTTATGGCCCTGCTGTTTCCAGGTAAGTCAGCAATGTGCCCTGGGCCCGGGGCCAGGGTCTCACCAATGATCACTTCCAGGATGGGAGTCCAGGCTGGGCAGTGAGATACTATGCCTTAGTGTTACTCCCCAAGTGTGCTCTTCTGCTCACTGCCAGACATGCCAATAATCAGGAGGCAAGGTTGTAGGAAAGAAAGAACTTTATTATATCTTGCCAGCAAGATGGAAGATGGCCAACT